GTTCTTCAATATAAAGTTTAATTGGAACAATGATAAAAATAAAGATTGTTCATTGACATAACTGATATTTATCTCATCTTCTAAACTTTGTTTGTATAATGATTGGCTGGTTGAAGCATCAAATCCTACTTTGTGTATAAAGACAAGAATGGATTTCTCACAACCTTAAGTGTAAAAATGTAAATTAGAAGAGTGATGTGAATACAATCCACTAAGAAAATTTATCATCTGTAGTATTTTGGAGATTTTTTTTGAAAATAAGATTAATTAAAAATGACTAAAGTATTGATGTTAATGTACATTGCTGAACTTTTTTTCCTCTTTTAGTTTCAAAACAAGTGAATAAAATAATTCCTCTCTTTCGACAGCAATGTTTTCTCTTCTTCTTTGTTTTTTCAGAAGTTTGGGTGAATTAGCACCTGTAGATAACTAATTCTGGTAGATAACTAATTTAAATTAAAATATCAGATGATTGTATTTAGTATAAACTAGCTGAAACACAATTAAATAGTAAAAAACATCATGAGTCCATTACTTTAATTTTTATAAAATATCATACCTAAATTTTCAACATGCTAAAGTTTTACCTAAATGTTGAACTTCTTGTAAGCATACTAGAAATTTAATATCCCATCACTCATCTGTTGATATTGAGAAAATCTACGCTCTATAGGGTCACTTTGAAGTCATGAAGTAAGCACATGCACATACAAAAAATCCTTCGTTGATAAACATTGATAACGCAGAGTTAAGAGCAGATAATGTTTATTTTGATAAAGTAAAAAATTAAGATTTTTTGCTGAAGTTCAATCCAGTTAACTAGTTGTCAAAAAAAAATTGTTTTAACATCATCAACAATTATTGCATTACCAAGTTTATTTTTTCTAAATTATTGTTTTGAATTTGAAACAATAATTTATCCTGTTTAACAAACTGTTATTTAACTTTTAAAACTTGCAATTGTTCATCAAAAATCGACAAAGCAAGAGAAGTATTTTTCTTTTTATTATCAAGACATATGTATAGAATATGTAATTTTTGGAGCTTTTTTTAAATTATTTTGAAGTTTTTCATATTTAGAATGTAAAAGATAAAAATCACCCTAGTGATAACCAGCTGGATATATTATAGAAATTATCTTTTATAATACATTTAAATGTATTATAAAAGTATAACTTGATTAAACTTGAGATTTCTCGGACAAATTGAATAATTGAATATTTAAACCCAGATATAGAAAGAAAACTGATAGAATCTGATATTTGATCTGAAAGCCATTTACCTTATGGTAACTTCAGGTACTGCTTTCTGCTTTTATAATATAAGGAATAGTTTTCTTTAAACTAACAATCATAACTGCAACAACTCCATTAAACAGTGCCATTTTTATCTGCACCCACATAAATACTACTACAATGTTGTGTCTGTTTCTGAAGATAAAGTTCATCTATAATTAGTAATATATCTTCATGCATTGAACCTTTCTCATGAAGTGTTTTAACAGCCTTTACTGTATCAGCTCCGCCTTGTTTTATTTTATTTAATAAAGAAGTTAAAGGTAATAGAAATGATTTCATTTGCATTTTTAAAAGTGTCTTTATTATAAGCATGTCTAATCATATCTGCAGAATATTGTGGTTTACCTTTTGCTTTATAGTTTATTCTTCTATTTATTTCTCCAAGAAGTATATTTCTATTAGAAGAAGCTATGACTTTTATGTACGAAGCAAGATTTTCTAGCATATTCAAACTAGTTAACTTGACATTATGACCTTTAGTTAAACATGGAGGAAGTAGAACATTATGTCTTTTATATCGCAAAGGTACACATAAACCATGATCAATTTTTTATTGATTTAAGAACTGATTGGAAAATGTGTTAAAGGATCAAATTTTAAATTGTAATAAATAACTCAATTGAGATGTTTTTTAAATTGAAAACCTTATGGTGAATGTTTTCTGTTTAACTTGTTCCATTCAGTTGTTTTATTATTTTTTAAAATAAAAACTAAATTCATCTTCTTGATAAAAACGAATTTTAGGTGATCTTCTCAAAACAAAGGTAGTGCGGAACGCCCTTAAGAAAATTTCAGGAATAGAGTTTAAAAGGTTTAGGGAGTTTAAAAGGTTTAGGGAGTTTAAAAGGTTTAGGGTTTAAACTCCAATTGAACTTAATTTTTATACCTCAAATAATGTACTTTTCATTTAAATCCTTTTCACATTTTTAAATAAGACAAAATTTGGTGAAGGCATCCAATCACAACAGCTTGCCAAACAAACCCAATAATTTAGCAATTGTTGATTTTTTAACTAAAAAAAAAAAACTTTTATATCTTCCAAAGAACTGTTGTATACAATTTTACAATGATATGGAACACACTAATAAACCATGATATTCAGCTCTGTCAATATTTATAAATTTTGTAATATATATATATATATATATATATATATATATATATATATATATATATATTATATATATAGCCCTTGGAATTAGGGTCGGCAATGCTAACCTAGCTGTCAACCTTATTGTTTGAGGTCGGTAAAAAATTGCAGACTTTGTCAGGGGCTACTCTAGCAAAAAAATTTGGGCATCCCTGGACTAGCATTCGCTGTAAAGATATTTCCTTTAAAATATGCAATATTTGCCAAAAAAATGTAAAAAATTTTGAATTTTTGGCGGTGACCAAATACAGTCGGCACTGCTGAAAACCTTCTAGAATAGCCCCCGCTTGTTTCAATTTTTTATAGTGAAACCATTGTGTCTATTTTTTTTTTGCCTACCTGTTGCTGATCTCTAATAGTTTAAGGTCTGCAATTTTTTGCTAACCTTAGTTTCGACAGCTGTAAATATATAAAGGTTTTTCGTATTGCACTGTCATTTTTTGTTATTGCATAAATAGGTCTCTTAAATTCAATTTTTTTTTTAACTTAATAATTTTTTGTGTTTTACTAATACCTTGACCTCTTCTTACTATACCAGAAGTGTGACTACCTTGATGAGAAAAACATTTATTATGTTACAAAGCCCAGTAGGCCAGGAGGGTAAAAAAAAAAACATTCTCAAAAATTACATTACTTTATACCATTTTATAGCTTAAACATTCAGTTTTTATAAAATATTTAGCTTCTGCATCTTAAAAATTCAAATTTCATTATAACTTCAGTAAGCCCTTAATCTTATAATTTTTGTACGATATAATAATCATTGAAATCAATGGTATAATAAATACATTGATTTCAAATGGCAGCTTATTTAAATTACTTTTTTTTTAGTCAAAATTTTATTTATAAAATCAAATATTTTTATGGTCCAAGGTGGTCCAGTAATTTGAGAGTTGCGTTAATACATTGTTCAATATAAATTTGGAATCAATCAATAAATATAAATTTGGCTTCTGTGGAATATCTGCATTATCTGCAGAAGTCTGAAAAGTCTTTAATAATGATTTTTACAAGTTAAATGATGAAAAATTTTATGTGGCGAAATCATTATATCTATTTTATTCTAAATGAATATGTAATAATTGTGTCTCAGTGAGACAAGGTTAGTGTTACAAACTTGTTTTAATATTTATACATCTTAAAGTATCTATTTATAAGATTTTGTAAATGTGTACACATAATTTATATTTTTATATAGTGAAGTTAAAACATGTAATATATTGATATTTGTTCATATATAATACAAGAAAACTTGAAGTTAGCTAATCCTAATATTTTAAATAAACTTAACTGCAAATAATAACTATTGTACTTCCATGAAGCAACTTTAACATAGGTGGCATATATGCAAAAGCTCTAAAATTTATTTTGAGAGAATAACAAACAATGGCTACAAAATGAACTGATTCTACCAACTGCTTTCATTGGTGAAGATAACTCTGCTCTCATCTCATGTTCTGATACTTCAAGTTGTAAAACACAGAAAAAAAGATCAATGTCATTAGTTTCATCTTTTTCATCTTTAAAACTATTGCATCAGGATGCATAAAAAAGAAGGAGTTAAAACTGTTTTCAGAATCAGAATATAATGAATTTTGGTATAAAATATTATTTTAAACCAAATCTTTTATATTTTTATATACACAAATAGGTTTAAGCATCAGGTTCTTTTTTATATGGATAGTAGTTTCAAGAAAGTTGTGGAACTGCATAAAAACACCTAAAATTAGTAACTGGCTATGTGTTTAATCTTTAAAATGCATAAAATAGTTTTCAATCAGACTACCACATTAGTCTTGCTTATAACTTAAGTGATTTAAAAAAAATCACTTAAGCTAGTAACTATACAAAATAGACAGTTGCCAGGCATTTTATTTTATCAACCAAATAAAAAATTCATAATGTCACTATAAAAATGGGAGTAATCTGATAAATATTTTAGAAGCTTTTGTCTAATGTATATTTATTATGGGTAATATAATATATAGTTGTTAAGCAGCTTAGGTATCCATAGCAACTCAAAATTAAAACTAATGTCACCATAAAAACTGCAATACTCAAATTAGTAAACAGTGCAAAAATGGTTCTAAAATATTTTTTATATGACAAGTTATTAGTTTTGTCCAGTAAATATGAGTTCTGGCCTGCTGTGCAAAGTTAATAATCCAGCAAAATGTTTTGTGTTATTTAGCTGCAAATAAAAAAAAAATTGTGTTAAAGGTATTTTTTTAATGTGATTGATTGATAGTAATTATTATGAAGCTGGTAATGTTTTATTAATAATAAATAAAATTTATTATTTATTTGTTATGTTAATTTTATGTTAAAATGTTATTGGTTTACTTAGCTTATTTTACAAAACTTAAAATAAGAGTTTGTAAAAAAAAAAATGTAGTTATAAAAAGTTAAAAAAATGTATTTTTATCTGTTTTAATGTTTTTTTGATTTTATTATTATTAGCTTTTGTCTTTATGTTTACTTTAGATATTTGCACTTTTCAATTTTGTTATTGTTATTGTTATATACTTTGTTATTTGTATTTTTATATTTAGTAGAGACTTTCGAAGTAATGATGACCACACAACAGATTGGAATCATGATTATGCTGATAATGAGCATTACAATAATCGAGGCCATCATTTCTACAGAGGTAGAGGGCGGGGATATAGAGGAGGCAGAGGAAACTTTAGAGGAAATTATAGTAATTATAACAATAATGATGGTGGATTAGTTGGTAGGTACAATCAAAGAACCTCACCCACACATAGAGGTAGGATTTATAATACTGAAGAAATCAAATGTCTTTTGTTGACTTTAAGCTTCTTAGTTTTATGTACTTGCTATTTTTTATTAAGTTTAATTTACTTATTTTTAAAAATTTTTAATTTAAATATATATATATATATATATATATATATATATATATATATATATATATATTTATATATGTGTATATATATATATATATATATATATATATATATATATATGTATATATATATATATATATATATATATATATCTGTAAACAAACTTTAGATTATGATAATTATAATGATGTCCAAGGTGAATACCTCCCAGAAAGATCTGCTAGATATGACTACCATGATAATAACTATCATAAAGATGTAAGTCGTTCTAAAGAAAGAAAGTTTGAGTTGTCTCCAATAAGAGATCCAAGTAAGTTTCTGAACAAATTTTAAAATCCTAATTGTTTTAAATGCATTAGAATAAAAGCTTAACAAAAAATTAAAAAAAAAACCTCACACTGTGCAGTATTTAAACAACATATTAAGAACACTGTATAGTAGGTCAGTATGTGGACAAAATATTATAAACACTGCACATTGGGCTAGTATGTGGACAAAATGTAAAATACTTTTGTTCTCTAATCTCTACTACTTTGAGTAAGGAAAAGTTTATTGAAAGTTATATAATTTAAAGATCTCATATTAAAAAAAAAAAAGTTTTTAAGAAAATAATTGTTTGCCGATCTTTAGCTTATGAATGACACACATTGAGTGTCTTATATGTATTTGAGCTATAGGGTGTTTAAAATGAGTTTTCATTGATTCCTTGCCCCTATAAGTCCCACTTTGATATGTTTTTACTTAAAGTATTACTAGTCTACAAAACATAAATTATAATAATAACCTTTTAAATAAAAAATATTTATTAATAAGATAAATTTTTTGTTATAAATATGGATTTATTAGGCTTGGACATTCTTAATTTTCTCAAAGAGAATAAATTTTTCATTTTCAAATAAAATAGTACTTAAGACGTATTAAAGTTTATTATGCCAATATTGTTTATTCAAAAAATTTGAAGATGTTAATCATGCTGTTTAACAGTTTCTTTACCTGTTTCAAAGAAACCAGAAATGTTTTTGGTTTGGCTTAATGAATGCTTAATTATCAGAAAAAATAATGAACCAACTACAAGTAGATGCAATCAAAAGTTTAATTTGACTTTTTTTTTAAAACATCTTCGCTTCCAACAAGGCTGCAAGCAACCACTAATTAGAGTTGGAAGTTACTATACGAGAAAAATATTTTACAAATACTACAATGGTATTTGTAAAAAAGAGAAAGAGAAGCAACATTACGACAATGTGATAATGGTTGAAGGTTGGCTGCAATGCGCTTTACCACCTTGTCTAAGAGAGAAAGGGCATCATTAGAAGATCCACCCCAGATATGGCAACAGTATTCCTTAGGAGGCCAGATTTAAGATTTATAGAGATAGAGAATAGAATCCGGAGTAAGAAAGTGTCAAGCTCGATAAAGAGATGCAACTTTAGCAGATGCTAATTTTGCAACAGATTTGATATATGGTTTCCAAGAAAGATTGGAAGTAAGAGTTAATCCTAGAAGATGAAAGGTAGATGACTCATCAAGTACATTACCTTACATAAATATAGGAAGGTCTAAATTATTGCAATAACGATTGGCTGAAAAAAAATTAAGTTTTATTTGAATTAAGGCTCACCAGCCACTGTGAGCCACATGCTGTAGCAGAAGTGAGATCCTTTTTAAGGTATATGACGTCATCATATAAATTTTTTCTTTTAAGATATCGTATTATTTTTTTACCACAATCACCAAATCATCTTAATTGTATATCTTTTTACTAAATTTCAAAAAAAAAGTTTGTGATACAATTAAAAATTAAATTTATAAAATTTATAGAAATAAAAATTTAATATAAAACAAATATTTGCAGTAAATCATACTGGTTTAAACAATACAAACAATATAAACAAGATACTAAAAGAAAAATTTTATAATAAACTAAATAAAAAACAAGTGACTTGAATAAAACATAAACTGATCTTAAGTAGAAAATAAATATTAAACAAATTATTTTTTTAATAACCATACAAATCAAACTAAATTAAAGTTAAAACAAATATTTGTACTAAAGTATACAAAAAAAAGTTATAATATAAAAAAACAAAGAATCGCATTAACTTGTTTGCTACCAGCTGAACAAAAATCTTTTCATAGCGACCGCACATTTTTTTGAATAAAATTGTGCGGTCGCTATAACATAACATTGACATTTAATTAAAATTCGAATAGTAAATCTCTTCAAAAGCATAAAAAATTTTATATTAATAGTAAGCTAAACAAAAGTACTTTTTAGTTAAATAAGTTTTTAACATGCATCATTAAACAATAAGAAATGCAAAGTGCTTAAAACCATTGTTTTTATAAATAGTAACTAAAACATTAAGTCCAAAACAAAACTCATTTAATGAATAAAAAGAATATTTTTTCTTCAAAAGACTTTGGTAATTATTTAACTGAATACTTAACACTTATACAAGTTAAATTTTAGAGTGTTAACGCTGTTTTAATTTATAACTTATAAATTAGTTATAAAATATAACTTTATAAATTTAAAGAAGTTTTTTTATGAAGGATCATTCAAGATTTTTTAACTGTATCAAGTGATAGCTTTTTTATAATTACACAATATAGCTCTTATTTTTTCTTGATTATGTAGAGAATTAATTAAATCTTAAAAACAAATTATATGAGTCTAGAATGGAAATTTATGTACAAAACAAGACAAATTATAAAGCATACTTGAAAGCCGCCACCAGAAGCTTGTGGTAGTGAAAGAGTTAAACCTTAACTAAATGTAAATTAAACATAAAGCGAACAACTCTATCAAACCATATGAACTAAATATGAAATGAGAAACCGCATCATACTGTCTTTATTTTTTCTCTGCTTGCGAATTCTAATAATCACAAAATACTTAAAATTGTGGCATGATTTTGGCTGGCTTCTAAATTAAAGTAATATTAAAGCAAGTAAAAAAAAAATTATAAATTTAAAAATATATATATATATATATATATATATATATATATATATATATATATATATATATATATATATATATATATATATATATTTGTATAATTTTTTACCAAATCAAAAATATTTTTTGTGATTTGGTAAAAAATTATAAAAATATTTGATTTTCTGATTGTAATAGAAAAAATACTTATATCTATAACAAAAAAAACGCTATCTTAAAAAGATATTGCGATGATGTCATATACCGAAACTGTTATGAATTAAACAAGCATGGAATAAATTATCAAGTCTGCAGATTGCAGCTAACATTATACAGACTCTGAAAACAAAAAAAAAAAAAATGAAGAAGGCGAGCTTTGACTAAAACGATAATTTTAATTTTTTTGGTATGCGTTCATTATTTAGTTTCAATCAAAAAAATTCAGCCCAAATGTTTTTTTTAAACATTTTCTTTAATATAAACACAACTTGTCTGGGCAGTTGGGGATCTCTTTAAAGATGTTTCCAGATACACCTCAAGAAGAAAGCTTATGGAGATGACAGGCATGCCAAACTTTATTAAACATTTTAGAAATGTCAAAAGCGATGGCCTTAACCTCTAATTATTACTGTTAGCAAATCAGTTGTAGAACAAGAAGATCGAAATCCATATTGATGATCAGAAAGTAAGTTATTAAATTCAAGATGAGAGATTAAGTATTTGTTAATTAAAGATTCAAAAACCTTGCTTAAGATAGGAAGAAGACTAATGGGACGGTAGTTAGACGAATCGGATCGCTCTCCAGAATTTTTAAAAATAGGGATAACATGCTGCTTTCCAGCTGGATCAACCTGTTTGACGGATCAACCTGTTTGACGGCTATATCAGGTAGAACGCAACTAGTGGAATCAAAAGATGATATTGATGAAAGTTCTTAGCAAACAATTCAGCTTTGTCTTTAGGTGAGGTGACAAAGTCTGAACCATACAAGAGAGGTGGAATTACAGATTTGCTCTTATTATTGATACTATTAAAGATTCTCCAGAAGTCATTAGAGCCTAATTTTTGTGATGAAACCTTTTTACAATAGTTCCTAGCAGTAATAAACAGACGTCTGTTTTCTGGAGAATTATTTTGCTGATAGATATGGAAGTAATAGTTGCGATTGGCAATTGCAGCAGCACAATGTGAGGAAAACCATGGTGAAGAGTGAGGCTTGACCTGGAATCGACAAGAATGAATAAAGGGTTCCATGCCAGTCTGAATCCATGAAGTTATGTAAGAAGCACATTTGTCAACAGGAAGGCGAAAGATTTCTACCCAAGGGCCATCACGAAAGATCACAGAAAGAGTCCCAGTCAGCTTTAAGGTAGTTGTAAGATGTACGATGATATTCTGATGATAAAGAAGAATGAGATAATAGTTTTAGAGAGATCAAGCTGTAATCAGAGGCACCTAAGGGTGAATGTGGAGAAACTGAGCACTGACTAGGATCAGAAACAAGACATAAGTCGAGTAGTGAAGGTAAATGATTCGGGTTGTCTGGAAAGTTGTCTATTTGAGTTAGGGATTGAGAAAGGTAAAAGTTGTGGGCTTTAATGCCTGCAGAGTCAGTGACACTAGAGCCAAGCCATTTAGTGTGATGAACATTAAAGTCACCGACAACAACAATATTGATTGATGGATAAAGAGAGAGGGCTTGGTCAATATGATTAGAAATAACATCAAGAAGAGTACAGTCTTTAGATAAAGGAGAGCAATATAGAACAAAGAGAAAGGCAATAGAGTGAAGTGGTGCTAAATGAAAGCACATAAAAGAGTAGTCTGTGCATTCAAACCTAGTTTCTCGACAAATGGGTGAATTCTTACAAATGTAAATGCTCAGGCCAAGCATGTGACTATTGGAATTTTTACGGAAATACTATTGGAGTCTTTAAGGAAGATAACCATCAACACCATCAATAATGAACTTGACTCAAAGCATAGATAGTACTCAGTACACTGTTTAATAGCCCAAGCAATTGCCTCATTACTATTAAATATTAATTACATAAACCCTAAGCCGTAACAAAGGGCTCCAATGTGGCCTTTGCAATTCACACCTAAAGTACGAACAGGGACACCATCCATGCGCAACCTGGCACTTTTAATACTTTGGTATTTTTCAGCTGTTGATGGAATCAGCCCCTCTGAGAGCTACCACAGAGTTTGGTAAACCTGACTACCAGCTGGCCTTAGAACCATAAAACTGAGTTTTAGACCCTCATTAGGAGATAATAGAATAAGTTGCCTAGTCATAAAAAATAGAGACACAAGCAAAACCCATGCAGTGAGTCAAGAAGATCCAGCATTCAACATCCTAAACT